CCGACTTCCTAACGAAAGCGCTGCACTATCCGGCCTTCAACCGGTGCTCCGTCGCAATCGGCCAAGTGCGCTTGGCCGACGTGGGCGACGGCGGCAACGACGTGCAGCAGTAGGTGCCATGCCCTCTTGCATGGCTGGTGCGGTGGACGACGTGCTATGTGTTGGGCGCACGTCGACGAGCTAGTCTCCAAGCTGTAGTGCCGTGTGGGCTGGGTGCCCAAGCGTGAACGCGGCAGGGGAGTGTCAACGGGAGTTGGGTGTTGGCCCCGTCCTCGCTTGGGCGGAGCCGACTGTATGGTCGGGTGTGAGGGGAGCAGCCGACCTGCAGCAGTGGGTGAGCTGGTCGACAAGGAGGTCGACCTGCACGGGGGATCACTGCACGGGCGCCAACTTTAGGGTGGCGCCGACTTGGGAGTCGACCTGCAGAGGACGTTGAAGCCGACTTCGGCAATCGGCTAACGGACTGCTAGTCGACCTGTTAGTGGTCGACTGGACCTGGTGGTCGACGAAGGAGGGGCCGACGTCGACCTCGACTCAGGACGCTGAGCAGTTGGGCGTCGAGTAGCTGGGCGTCAACTTTGTGACGCCAGCTTCGGGTGGCCGACGTGGGTGGTCGGCCGACGACTGTGCTGGTCGACGAGGAGCAGGTCGACCAGGAGTGCTGGTCGACGTGGAGCTGGTCGACCAGAGGGGATGTCGACCTGGAGGAAGTCGACCGATGGTGTCGTCGACCTAGTGAGGTCGACGTGGAGGTGGTCGTCGACTTGGGAGGTCGACGGGCACGTACGGGAGCTGCTGGTCGACGTGGTAGCCTGGTCGACCAGGTTACCTGGGTGACGAAGTGCTGCGAAGGAGTGCGACGGTCGCCCAGGCGAAGTTGGCGAGCACGACCTCAGTGGTGGTATCCCGAGGTCGTCGTGGCGGGCCAGAGGCAGTCGTCAGCTCAAGGTTGACGTGGAGTGTGCGCTGTGCAGGTGACGGGACTCTGCACGCCAATCGGCTACGCACACCTGCGAAGCGGGTGCACTGCTGTCCTGCGTGAGCAACGCTGGCACGCCGTCGACCTTGCCTTGCTGGAGTTCGGTCGACCAAGCCGTGCTGGAACGCGGTCGACCAAGCTGCGCTGGCAGTTGGCCGACCTGAATGCTAGCCCTGATGTAGTCTTGCATTGCCAACTTCATTGTACCATTGTTCTGAACTTTTCCTAGTGAAACTCTTGCCAATTTTCCCCGTAAACTAGCAAGTAGTGTGAGCACAAGGAAAACGACTAAGGGACAAAGAACGCAGAGATCACACGAGCACACGTGCCTAGTCCATAACCTAGCTCCCGTTGCTGCAGTTATCTCCGCAACGCTTTGTCTCCCCACCTACTTGCCCTTGTTCGTCTCCACCCCCTTATCCCCCCCCCAACACGCTCTTCCTGCACGCTTGTACTCTGTCCTCCGGATTTCCATATCATCTTTACTCGATATCTACTCTGTGCAGCGTGGAGCACAATGAAGTAGTAATCTCAGTCTACAATATGTATGCCTTCAATGTACCGTATCTAGCCATAGCATGGTATTACAACTAATTTACATTTTGAATAATGGTAGTGGAATCCAATGGTTGTCATGTGACCTCTGTACTTTCAAATGGGCACAGCACAGCATTGATATAAGAAGAGAAGCTTGAGAGGAGTATGTACACATGATAAAATCATCGCAAAACACCATACCGTATTCTCCGGACATAACACCTGGGGGTATTATGATAACCACATGGAAAAAAGGGGGGGGGGATCCTCTCAACGGAAAATCCTATATAATACCCGGGTGGTTATATATGGTATATTTTAATGCAACAGTTTGGGTGTTTCAATGGTCGTTTCAATATCACAGTTTGAGGCGAGAATGTGAGTTTTGGCGAGAATGTGAGTTTCACCTTTCAGGCCAATTGGAGCGGAAGATTCGCCAGCATGGCGACTTCCTAGAATGTGGGATGAGGGAAATGTCCACTTGCAGCGAAAGATTTGCTAGGGTGGCGACAGCGAGATTGTGGGAGGGGGAAATGTCGGCGGATTCTAAGTGCAAGTACACGCGAAATTTCATCTAGGAAGAGATTCTCGCAATATTCTCCTGTAAGGAATCAGACTCGATAGCAGCTATTATAGGAATCCGTCGGCCCCCCCCCTCCCTCCCCCCCCTCTTCTCCTCCTCCTTTTGTTCCCTCTGCTGCAGCTGCCGCTGGGGGGGAGGGTGTGAGAGTGTGGGGGAGCCCGGGGAGGGACTGGGGGTGGCGGGTGTGGGGGTGATGGGTAATGTCTGGTCCCCTGGCCCTACGGCCCCATTCTCCTCCGTTTGCCCCCCCCCCCCCCCCCCTCTGCTGCTCCTGCAGCAGTGTGAGGGGGATGGGGAGGGGGAGGGGGAGGATGAGGGGATGTAGGTGGTGACCAACCAGAGCCTATCACCTCCTCTCCTCTCTCTCCCTCTCTCTCTCTCTCCCTCTCTCCTCCTCCTTGCCTGCCCTCTCCCGTACTGCTACGCACTCTTGGTGTACCCCTTTATGGGGGCGTTGACTGCATATTCTTCCCTACACGCACTTATGGGGGCGTGTCAGAATAATATATAAATCTATATATTGTTTTGTAACTGCCTGTAGTGTAGACTACTGTAGTTATACAATATTCTGTTTGGTGGTGCACCTTTCTTTTTGCCTATATGTACTGCTCGCTCTATAGTGAAACCCTCTCTTTTCTTTTCAACTTTCTCGACTCTCCTAACTCAACTACTCGAACTCAACCAAGGCTCCTAAGTTATGGCTCCTAAGCCTAACTCTTACTAGTACTTTTCAACAAGGAGGACACGTGTGGAGGTGGGAGTCGCACGCGCGGGGAGGCGAGAGGAGAGCGCGGGGAGGCAAAAGTCGCGCGCGCGGGGAGGCGAGAGGAGCAGGCGCGGGGAGGCGAGAAGAGCAGGCGCGGGGAGGCGAGAAGAGCAGGCGCGGGGAGGCGAGATTCGAACGCGCGGCAAGGCAAGAGGAGGCCGCGCGTGGAGGCGAGAGTCGAGCGCGCGGGGAGGCGTGATGAGGCCGGGCGGGGAAAGCAAGAGGAGAGCGAAGGGATGCGAGAGGAGCACGCGCGGGGAGGCGAAAAAAGAATTTGAACCGGGAGGCAATAGGAGCAGGAATGGGTAAGGCGAGAGGTTGCGGAAAGGGGATTTCGGGCGGAAATGAGGTTGCGGAAAGGGAAATTCAGTGCTCTGGAATGAGGGCGTGCAGGGGAGGAAACAAGGGCGTACCCGGAAGAAGAGAAGGCGTGGCGGGAAGGGGAGATGGCGTGGCGGGAAGGGGGGATGACGTACCCAATCGCGTGCGGCGAACGGCGGACGGCGAGCTAGGAGTGGAGGAAGGGATGGGATGTAGATGCTAGCGCGTCGAGGCTAAACGGGACTTTGTGGGGAGGGGAGGTGCTGTCGCCAATGGCTTCGCGGTGAGGCAGCGAGAGGAGGCATGGGGCGGTCTTGTCTAAGGTGGTGTGGCCTAAGCGAGTGTGAAGGCGTGGCGATTTGTCCGCGCATGCGCGCAAACAGCGTTACGCGGTTCAGTAACAGATTCTGTCCCTAAATCTAGCTGTTAGGTTACAATGTTGCCTAGTCTACACGGAATAACCTACCGAAGTAGGAGCGTGTGGGCTATCCTCTCACTACCGCAGTTACAATGTTGCCTAGTCTACACGGAATAACCTACCGAAGTAGGATAGCGTGTGGGCTATCCTCTCAGGACGACCGAAGTTCAATTGGAGAAAGTTGAACCAAAATTTTGAACTTTCAAATACACTCCAAAAGACACGCGCCCTTATGCCGCTTGGATTGGATTGGATGGGTTTAGATGTGAATAATGTTCCACTACTGTTTTGTGCTGAAAAATGTGTACAAATTGTAGCAGTTAATTTCTACCACATGTTTACAAAAGAAGTTTTTTTTGTTTGAATTTTTTTACATCCAAGTGGAGTCTGGCTGATTTTCTTTCAGTTGTATTCAGAATGTAGCCTGACATTCTGTATGAGCTAGAGAGAGCCAAGTGTTGAGGACGACAAGGGAGGTGGCCGCTTGTATTTGTTGTGATGAAGTTCTGGTGTAACAGACCGTTTTCCGAGTTCACCTATCAAGGGGACAAGCCAGTGACGTGTCTTTTGTATGTCATGACGACGATTTGAGTCAGCTGCTGCCTTCACCAGCGCCAGGGGCTACCTTCACGGAGACAGCCCTTGCCTTCCAAACGAGGTGCCATTTGTCCGTTGACGTGGCAGGTTGTCGCAACTGCACGCCGGCGTTCCACGAAAGTGGTTTCCAATTTGGTCTTTCGAGGAGTTTCGCGAATATTGTTTGCGCGAAACTATCAACCACACCAGCTTTGTCGTGAAAGACGCCAGGCCCAATCAAACCCCAGTCGGTGAGGAAAGAATCGTTGGTCCCTGCCCGAAACTGTAACATCAAACAATTCGAACAGAAACACACGGCCGTCACACGCCTGCCCGACATCGCATTGACTCGATTCCTCGTCACTTCTCGAGCTGCCCGAACTTCCTGCGCCGAACGGCACACCGCCAAGTCTGACGCACAAGCTCAACGTGTGTTGCCTGCCTGCCCGCAATTGTAAAGGTACAGTTCAGATTCTGCCCTTCCACGTCCGCTGAGATGTCTCCCTCTTTCCCGCCATTTCCCCTCCATCACCTCCACATTTCCACTAGCATCCTCGAAGTTCTCTGGACCGCTTTCCAGAAACCGAGACCAGGGAGACACAAGCGACCGAATCGAAAAGACGAGAGCAGAAGCAAGATCAACACATAGTTGTTTACGCCACCGCAGTTGCGTGTGCCGATTGTTTTCGTTGCGTTCAAGTTTCCATTCCACCGACCAGGAAGATAGCTAGAACAGCGAGCTACGTCAGCAGCGACGCCGTAGAGCCGGTAGTTCCAAGTGGGATTATGTGCTGCTTTTGTGTGATTCTACTGAAGGAATATGCTCACGTTAATGGGTGATACATCATCGCGCGTCGCGGCACGGAGAACGTGGAATGCGCGAGCTGATTTTCCGCCGCTTGCAGACTTGCCGCCGATATCTATGCAAGATGAAGGTGACAAACTGACGCGTATTTATACCTTACGTTTTTTCTCTTTTCACTTCCGTTCGATTTTTGAAAAGGATTCTGTCAAGGACATTTCGGCGCTACTTTGGAGTTAAGGGCCGTTCTAGCCTTCACACCTAACTGAGTAGTTGTTTGTGCTAGCACGACCTCCAAGCAAGCACCCAGTGGTACGGCTACCTTGCTACGACATCATGTTTGTGGTATAATACCACTTTAGAACACGCTTTCTTTTTCCTTTTTTTTTTCTTCTCTTCCCGTTTCATCAGGCCTTTCTCCCCTCCCGCCGCTCCCTTCGTCACGTTTCCAGCCGTCACCATCGCCGCATTTCACGCCGTTACCGTCGCCGGGTTCCCCGCCGTCTCCATCGCCGCGTTTCTCGTATTCACGAACCGCGAGTATAGGCCTCACAGACCCCAGTGGCAGCTTCTCTTGCTCGCCGCCTACTCCGCTATCGACATCCGCTTCCCCCTCTCCTCGAGTCACATCATATTCTCAAGCTGCTGTTCCAGGCTTTATGCCCCCTCTCATGCCCCGTTCCCCTCCTTCTCCGCAATCCCCTCCCTACTGGCCGCCGCTAACCCGGAGCCCCGACCCGTTACAAGCTCCGTTTTCGAAAATACCCCATACAAGACCTCTTATAACGAGGCAGCGGGATGAGAACGAGAAACGAGCTGCGGGTTGCTTAGGAGGTCCTACAGGGGTAGGTGGGTCTGCGTGGGTCAAGAGTTTGCCGCAGCAGCAGCAGCACGCTCTGAAACCATGGGATACTGTACAGTCACTGTCTCCTATTGAGTCGCCTTCCACGCAGCAGCAGGAACCTGGATCATGGAGTGTTGTACGTTCAGCTGGTCTGATCGACGAGCCGTCGGCAGGATCGTTTAACCTGCCGTCTCCGTCTGCTTTGACGTCGCCGTCTGAGTCAGCGTCTCTGCTACCTGGCAGCGGCGCTGTCGCGTCAGAAGGCGTTTCAGACGCCGTTTGGGCCGGCCGTGGATTGTTGGGTTCACAGTCCGTGGTGTCCCAACAGGTGCTGGAGCTGTTTCAAGAGCAGCAGCAACGGCAACAGCAACAGCAGCAACAGCTACAGGAACAGCAGCAACAGCAGCTGCAGCAACTACAGCAGCAGCATCAACAGCAGCAGCAGCAGCAGCAGCAGCAGTGGTCACAGCAGCAACAGCTCGTTGCTGCCGCCCCTCTTTTGCAGCTTCAAGAGCAGCTACGGCAGCAACTACACTTACAGTCCATCGAGCTACAGCAAAAAGAGCTGCAGCAGCAGCAACAAGAACAGCAGCAGCAGCAGCAGCAGCAGCAACGTGGGCTTCTGCAACAGCAATTAAGGTACCCGTCTCCCCTTGTACAGGAGCAACAGCAACAGCAGCAGCAGCAGCAATTACGGTATCCTTCCCCACGTGTACAGGAACAGCTGCAGCAGCTACAAGAGCAGCAGCAACAGCAGCTATTACGGTATCTTTCTCCACGTGTACAGGAACAGCAGCAGCAGCTACAGCAACAAGAGTTGCAGCAGCAGCAGCGACAACAGCAACAGGAGAATCAGCAGCCACAGCAATACCAGCAGTGGTCACAGCAGCAGCAGGGCTATCAGGAGCAGCAGCAGCGCCTTCAGCTGGCCCAATGGCACATGACCCAAGTGGAGCTGCAAACGCAGCTGCAAGCATTGGAGCAACTAGCTGCCTCGGCCCAAACCTCCGCCGCAGCCTCGGCCCAAGCCGCAGCCTTGGTCCAAGCCGCAAGGCTTGAATCTCAAATCAAAGCTGCTCAGATTGAGTATCAGCTGCAGAATTCTGCAGGTTCAGGTCAGATAGGCAATTCTTTTGCTGTAGCATCAGCCCAAGCCCAAGCCTCCCCGGTAAGGCTTCGGGAATCGCTGCTCAAGACACAACAGGATAGGTTTGGAAACTTTGGGAACTTCTCGCCTCCGAACCTCGCATCCCCGAGCCTCCGTCCCAGCTCTGGTGCAAACACCAAGCCATGGTTCGGACATCCTCAGGCTCGGACTGAACATGAGGGGCCTATTTATGGGTCACCAGGGGGGTCTGTGGGGCGTGACACGTGGCAGCAGTACAGTGCTCCAGGTGGCTCCACGTCAGCATCACCATCAGCAGCGGCGGCTGCCATTGCTGCTGCTAGAGCAGCGAGTGCGCGTAAATCTCGAGGGTATGGGCAAGCAGGAAGGAGCTCTGGATCAGCTTATAACGGATCCTCTAGAGGCTCTCCTAAAAAGGGAGGCAGGGGGGGCAAAGGGTTTCCGTATAACAGCAGTGGCAGCAGCAGTGGAGCTGTGGTCACTTATCCCCCATTCTCCCCTAGAGCTGTTTTAGATTCGTCGCGCGCTATAGCTCGTAACGAGTCTGCTCTTAGTGATGCGTCAAGTGAGGGCAGCAGTGGGGTGGACGCGCAAGGGGTCCATTTGCTGGAGCTAACTTGCGGGTGGCAGGATTTGTCTCATATCCCAAATGTACAGGTAACAGGGGGAGTGAGCCGCCCGGCTGTATGCTCTGTGAAGGAGAAGGATGATGAAGAGGTTTTGCCATCACAGGAAGAGCTTGATGCAGCCTTGTGCTGACGCCGGTGCCTTTTGTGTTGCGCACTCATGCTCAGGATAGTGCTGTGATTCTTTTAAGGAGGCGGTGGGGTGGGAGGGTGAGGAGGACAATGAAGAGGCGCTGCCATCACAGGAAGAGTTTGATGCAGCCTTGTGTTGAAGCCGGTGACTTCTGTGTTGTGGGGTCTTTTGTGTTGCGGTCACATCACATGCTCAGGTACTGTGCTTCTTTCAAGGAGGCGGTGGGAGGATGAGATGATGAAGATTTCGTAGGCGCCTCAAAATTCGCCACATGACTCACATGCTTGGGCACTGTAATTTTTTTAAGGAGGCGGTGGGAGGATGAGATGATGAAGAGGCGCTGCATCACAGGAAGCCCTAGCTTGATGCAGGCATGTGTCGAAGCAGGGTGTGATGAGTCGTTTTTTAGTCGACTCAAAAATCAACTCGTCACAGCAAGACCTTGATGCAGCCATTTGTTGAAGCAGGGGTTTATTGGGAGAGCACATGCTCTGGTTCATTTGGATTCTCTGGACATTCTTTGGATTCATTTGCAACCAGCTCATTACGCTTTCGTTATTTGCTATTGTTGTTCAGTTGTTCCTTCTTGGTTCTCGTTCCTCCCTCATGGGTTGCTATTTTTTGGAGGTTCCAATTGAGTTTCCTCATTGCGGTCGGGTTACCTAGATCCGCTTATTGATTTTGTGCTGATGAGGTGTGGTATAATTGTACCGTATATATGCCACAGAATCTATAATACCGTTATCTCCCGGACAAAACACCCCCCCATGATAGTACCACCCCTGGGTAGCTTGTGCGGGGTGGGTGCTATGGGCGACCTCGTTTCTACTATACCCCCCTTTTTGGATGATTTTCTATAACACTCCCCTTTTCTTACGGATTCCTATTATAGCTGTTATCGAGTCTGATTCCTTACAGGAGAATATTGCGAGAATCGCTTCCTAGATGAAATTTCGCGTGTACTTGCACTTAGAATCCGCAGACATTTCCCCCTCCCACTATCTCGTTGTCGCCACCCTAGCAAATCTTTCGCTGCAAGTGGACATTTCCCCCATCCCACATTCTAGGAAGTCGCCACGCTGGCGAATCTTCCGCTGCAATTGGCCTGAAAGGTGAAACTCACATTCTCGCCTCAAACTGTGATATTGAAGCCCACGATATCAGGGCAAAACATCCTGATTACCCTGATTTCAGGATGGTGTTTTAAGTTTGCCCTGAAATTTCAGAATGACGATGAAATTTACCCTGTAACGTCAGGATGATTCATGTGTTTTGCCCTGAAATTTCAGAATGGCAGTGAGATTTTGCCCTGAAGCGTTAGGGTGAATGTAGAGGGATGCCCTGACTCATGGGAAGGGGAAGAAGGGGTGGAGGGGAGGGGGGGAGAGGGGGAGAGGGGAGGAGGGAGGCTCGGGGGTGTGTGTGCTAGTTTTGTCCCCCCCCCCCAAGGTTTTTGCTCAGCCCATTGTAGTGAAACCACTGAACAACCTGCTCCTCTCGTGGCTTCCCCTCCACTCTAGTGTCTTGTATTTTTTTGCCCTGAAACATCCGGATGAATTTCTGCTGGTGCCCTGAAATTTCAGGATTGCCAGGAAATTTTGCCCTGAAAAATCAGGGCATTTTGGAGAGTTTTCAAAAGTTGCCCTGAGGGCTCAGGGTGCCCTAAATCCTAGCACAGGCCCTGATTGAAATGACCATTGAAACACCCAAACTGTTGCATTAAAATATACCATGTATAACCACCCGGGTATTATTTAGGATTTTCCGTTGAGAGGACCCCCCCCTTTTTTCCCTGTGGTTATCATAATACCCCCGGGTGTTATGTCCGGGAGAATACGGTACTGTATTGCATCTAGCTCCAACGCGTACAACACTGCGCACCGGGCCTCGGCCGGCCACTCTTTTTGTTATAGCGCAAGACCTGAACTACTCAACGCAAGTCAACGCAAATTAAATTGGTTAGGAATGAGCACAAATTATGTTTCACCTTTTGAAGGACACACAACTGAATCACATCACAAAAACACAAAATAGCAGCTGATTCATGATTGTAAAGTGTAACGCGAACACTGTGCTACACAAGGAGGCTCAAAGGTCCAGCAGAAAACGAACGGAGGCGAGAACACGATTGCGAAAGGGGAAAGAGAGATTTAAGGGGAGAAAAGAAACGAAACAAAACAAGACAACGTAGGTACGAGATATAAAAGCACCTGACAGTCATCTTACGAAGACGCAGCAGGAAGGCTAACAAAAAAGGCACCTTTCAGGCCAATAAGGTAGCACCTGGAAGGCTATTCTGCCACTGGTGCCAGCACCTGATACCACCACTGCACTATCCTGAGAGGTATGGGCCGGTGGGATGGATTATTGCAAGGAGGGCGAGGGGGAGAGGGGACAGCTGGGAGCATAGGAGCTGGGGGAGCCACTGATAGCACCACTGTCTCAGCTGATAGTGGTGATATCACCACTGCATTCCACGCCCTGATATCACCAACATCAAGACACGTGTTTTGAGTCGAATTAAAACACGTCCCACTGATATCACCAAATCATACGCACACCCTGATATCACCAACATCCCACTACTGAGCCACTGAGCCGCTGAGCTGAGTTATACTCAGAGCAGCGGCAGTGGGGTGGATGACTGGGTCAATGGGAGGAGTGAGGGAGGCGTGAGATGGGGAGAGGGGACAGCTGAGGGCACATAAGCTGGGGGAACCACTGATATCACCAACATACCACCACTGAGCCACTGAGCTGAGTTATATTCAGGGCAGCGGGAGTGCCATCCCTGAGTGCCGTCCCTGATGTCGCTAAAATACCACCACTGAGCCATATAGCGGCAAAGGCAGTGGGGCTGATGACTGAGAGGGGAGGGGAGGAAGGGAGAAGGAGGGGCATAGGAGGAGGGGAATGCATGCGAGCAGAGGGGAAGCACTTCTCACGACTGATCTGATACCACCACTGCACTATCCTGAGGGCAGTTATGAGGCGCCTCAAAACTGGACTGCACACGAGCAGAGGGGAAGCACTTCTCACGACTGATCTGATACCACCACTGCACTATCCTGAGGGCAGGGGTGGTAACGTGGATGATTGGGAGGGGAAGGGAGAGGCAGGAGAGGAGATTGGGATGGCATACAAGCTGGGGGGTTGCATAGGAGGCCTGGCAAGATTGCAATTTCGGAACACAATTTTTCCAGAAACCAAGAAGATGGGGCAAGAACAAGAACAAGCACTTCAGTCAGTCGGCTACGAGATGGAGAAAGCAAAGAAGGAAGGAGAAAGGGCAGCACGCCTTGGAGAAGCTGAGATGCGCCTGAGCCGAGGTGGGTCATCTTGTGGTCAGAGAGGTTAACGTGGGAGGTGAACCTGAGGAGCCTTTTTTGAACGATTTTTTAGGCGCCTCAGAAATCACTTAAATGCGCTCCGAGAGGTTACCTTGGGAGGTGAACCTGAGGTGCCCAGAGATGCATGTCTGGGAATCCCGGGCAGGCTCTTTTGAGTCGACTCAATATATATTGAACCTGTTATTTTAGAATTCTCAAACTACAGACCTGAGGTGTCCAGAGATGCAACTCTGGAAACCCCAGCAGGCTCACCCAGCGATGAGTCGTGTTTTGAGTCGACTCAAAACACTATGCACCTCTGGGCACCCCAACAGGCTCACCCAGCGATGAGTCGTGTTTTGAGTCGACTCAAAACACTATGCACCTCTGGGCACCCCAACAGGCTCACCCAGCGATGAGTCGTGTTTTGAGTCGACTCAAAACACTATGCACCTCTGGGCACCCCAGCAGGCTCACCCAGCGATGAGTCGTGTTTTGAGTCGACTCAAAACACTATGCACCTCTGGGCACCCCAACAGGCTCACCCAGGGAATGAACATCGATCGATCGTGGGTGATTTGGACCACGAGAGAGGGAGAGGATGAGGAAGAGGATAAAGAATGACCTTATTACACAGGATTCGAACATCGATCGATCGTGGGTGACTTTTGAGGCGCCTCAAAAGCCGGGCAGGCTCACCCAGGGGATGAACATCGATTGATCGTAGGTGATTTGGACCACGAGAGAGGGAGGGGATGAGGAAGAGAGAGGGGAGGGGAGGGGAAATGGCAGCATGGGATGGAGAGCAAATTAGAAGGAAAACGGGAAAGAGGAGGGGAGGGGAAAGGGCAGCATGCCTTGGAGAAGCGGGAAGGAGAAAGAGGAAAAGTATGGGGGGGGTAGGGGGTTGTAACGGGAAGGAAGTGGAGATATGGTGAGGGGAGGGGAGAAGCAAGCGTGACTTTGAGAAGGATGGCAGAGGGAGAGGTGCATTTTGAGGCGCCTCAAAATGCACCTCAACGCTCGCGGGAGGGGAGAAGCAAGCGTGACCTTGAGAAGGACGGCAGAGGGAGAGGGGTGGGAGAGAAAGAGGACGCGATAGGAGAAGAGAGGAAACGTGCCTTTTGAGTCGACTCTTAGGGAAAACGTGAGGCGAAGGAGAAAGAGGAAGTGGGGGGAAGGGGAGGGACGGGGAGGGGATGGTAGGTAAGATGTGGGAAGGGGAGGGAAGGGAAGGAGGGGGAAAGAAAAGGTAGGGGTAGGAGAGAGGGGGAAAAACATGCCTTGGAGAAAGAAACAATTTCAGCTGCGTCTGCTGTGAGCTGAATGGTCTGATGCACGGATGGGGGGAGATGCACGAGAAGAGGTGGGTGTGCAGGGGGGAGAGGGGGGTGCACGGATGGATTGGTAGAAAGGAAGGGAAGGGAAGGAGGAAGGGAAGGGAAGGGAAGGGAAGGGAAGGGAAGGGAAGGGAAGGGAAGGGAAGGGAAGGGAAGGGAAGGGAAGGGAAGGGAAGGGAAGGGAAGGGAAGGGAAGGGAAGGGAAGGGAAGGGAAGGGAAGAGGGGTTGCTGTGAGCTGATCGACCACTCGAATGGTCTGATGCACGGATGGGGGGAGATGCACGAGAAGAGGCGGGTGTGCAGGGGCGGGGGAGGGGGCGGGCCGGAGGAGAGGGAAAGGGAGGGGAGGGGAGTTTAGGGCAGGGCAGCAGTATGCCTTGGAGAAAGAGACAATTCCAGCCGCCACTGCTGTGAGCTGGTCTACCACTTGAATGGTCTGATATAGAGATAAGTGGACTGTCAGTGGGCA